ATAAGTCAGCTTCATTTTGTCTTTCCCATCAATGCAATCTTTCTCCATCAATTCAATGGGTAGCTATCCTTTTCTATGTATGCTTAAAGAGTCAACCCGTATGTTTTCTTTAAGTTCAATTCTGAACAACGAAAAAAATACTTAGCGTTCAGCCGTCAAATAGTTGATTGAGTTGATACTACAAAAAGAGAATGAGAAAGAAGAAAAGAAGGGGTCGATATGATCCCTTGGGGATTCGCAGAATGTTTTTCTGTAACAAAGAGAAAAGCGAGAATGATATTGAGTCTTTTCCATCTTTTATCTCTCTCGTCTTTTGTCTTCATCAACTCTTTACAAGTTCCTCCTCAATTTTTCATCTTCTTTCCAAAATTATTCCCTTTCCAGTCATAAAGTTATTTAGGGTAGATGGGTCTCTTTACCCATCCATCCAAACCCACTCATCTCGAGCTTTCACTTACACCTTCTGAAATTCGAATTTCAAAAGTCTACCTGTTTTGGAAATTTTCAACTTTATCCTTACACTCTATTGCAAAGGGTATAGGTATTATTTTCACTAAATGAACAGACTTATTCAACTAGATGAGATACACTACTGGACAATGAAATATCATATTTGAAAAAGCGATCGTCACTTTCGCGCGTCTGTAACTCCCTTGTCTTTGAGTTTAAACTATTAGTGCTATGTATTTCTGGAAAGCTCTTTAGGGCTACACAATGGTAATATTAATATTTAGAAACACGATAAAGACAAGAGAGTTACAGACGCGCGAAAGTGACGATCGTTTTTCAAATGATATTCATTGCCAGTAGTAATCTATCCAAATTTGCATTTGAGTCAAGAATAAAGCTTATTGTTCTTTCATGCACAAATTTATATTTACATAATTTTGAAATTTTCAAAATCTAACATTAAGAATACCCTGATATTTTCCTTTATCTTTTTTAAAAGCCATAAGAAAAAAGCTTACCTGCACTTTTCTATGTTCAGCCTACTGTAAACAAGTTTTAATCCTCTAACTCTGAACCTGAAATATTAGGTTTAGGTATGACTTCGCATTTTAACAAAACAAAGTTAACTTAAAAACTTGAACAAATAAATATTAAAAGCTATGTCCATCATTGTTGATTATGAGTTCCTTTCACTTTGTCACGATTACCTCGATGACCATTTGAGAAAGCTTGTAGAAGCCATTCTCTGATCATCAAAAAAGTGCGGTTTACTGGAAATTGTATCACGTCAAGATTGAGAGCTTGTTGCTTACCTAAATAATGCCTAAACTAACTGAATAAATGATAATTAGATAGCCGAATATCTTGCTCATACAACGGACATTATTAGTTTTCACAGAGGTTTCATAAAGCTTTTGTAATGCGAAGATAAACACTAAAATGTTAGTAGTAGTAGTTGGTTTGTTAGTAGTTGTTACATGTTAGTAATGTTAGTGTTATGTCCACTACTAACACTAAGATGTTAGTAGTTGATTATAGTTGGATTTCGTCCTTCATTTGTTACATTATAATTCTATTTTAAAGTGACAGCTTAAGAATACTGCTAAATATTAAACAGTTGGGCCTAAAACTTTGAAGTTATTAAATATATTAAATAATTTGTCTTTTTAAATAACTCATCAACAATACCCAAAGTGGGTTTCTGGGGTCGTCGTCTTGAGATTTCTTTTGCAGCCTGGTAGCGGCAAAACAACTTCTAAACAGTATGAATCATAAGGTAATTCTTTCAAAAGTTTTTACATAAATATTTTTAGAATTAAATCATCGTTTTAACTGCTTAAAATCGTAAAGAAACTAGACCTCCGTTCGAGATTTTTAATCTTTCAGCTTTCGAGCTGTGTGTGAAAAAAATTTTTAGTTTTTGATCAGACTTTTAAAGTGTTATCCTCTCAGTAAACATTTAAATAAAGTTATTGGTAGAACCAAAATGGAACTAGAGACATGGTTTTTGAACTTGAGAAAATGAGCTTAAGAATCTGACTGAAAAGACATGCTCCGGCGCCAATCTAATATATTGAATACAGTGTTGGAGTAAACTGTCAAGCTAATTTCCAATTTCTATTTATGTTCTCTTTATCATTTTTTGGTTTATCATTTTACAGAGGATATCTTTCATGTTTTCACCTTGAAGACTTGTCACTTGGCGCTTTTGCCCGAAATTCGATCTCCTGTTCTTTAGCATCGATTCACAAACAACTAACATATAACAGATTTCAGTTTCAAGTTTACAAAATCTAACTATAAGTTTGTTGTTTGTTCTCTTCGCTCCAAGAAGTGGTACTTATGTATGTTGAGATTTAAAATTGACTAAGCTTTAGGTTTATTGATCCAATCCACTTTTTTTGCATTTAAAACTTAGACTTTTGAGTTTTAGCTATGTTTTTCTTTGTTTCTTAGCGGACATATAGTAAATTATTCGCAACTTCTTTTGATCTCTATATTTAAATCTTCCATTAGGAACAACAAAAAGGCTAACGATTCGTCAAAGAGATCCGAAAAAAAACAAGAGTGACTTCCCGAGAGCGGAATGGAAAAAGAATGGAGTGCGAGAAAAGGAGAAAAGAAATGGAAAAGGAACGACTGGGCAGGCTGCCACGCAAAGAAAATTAGGTTCGAAACTGACGCCGTGTGGGCAATACTTTGGTCATTCCACTTGATTGGTCTTATTTTGCTCTCAGCTTCGCTTTACATTTATTTTCCTTTTCCCATTCCAGCCTTTGTGTAAACGATTTGCAGTTGAGTTGAAAGGTTGAAATCCATTTCGAAAATTCCTAGAACTAAAATTTTTAATTTCAAACATTCAAAATAAAAGAAATCGGCTCACTATCAGTTCAGCTTTCAGTCAACGCTGAGAAATTGTAAGAATTTTAGAATGTGAATTCTGTCAGAAGTTCAGTTGCAGGTGATTAAGTTTACAAGGTTATTTTTCTTCCTTTAACAGACTTGACTTCGAAGTTATATAGCTCCTATAATACGTTGTCTAACTCTAAACTCAATTCTTCGAGGTCTTAGGATTACGGGTTAAATGTTTCTGTGTTTCCTTCTCTTTCTTTTTCTCTTCCCCTTGCATTTCCTCTTTCTTCTCTGGTAAAAAGCTATCAGATAGCTCAGTGGTTAGAGCACCTGCTCGGCAAGCAAAAAGATCGAGAGGGTTCAATTCTTTCTCCGAAAATCTTTCTTTGCCATACTTTACTTTCCTCTTTGATTTAGAGCCGAATCGGATCCGAATCAAACAGAAAATTCCGAATCTCCTGTTAAAACTATTCGTTTTTAAAGTGCCGTTCTAGACTTGTATATGGATTGACCATGAATATGATTCCGTCAATGGACAATTGACGGAATCATGGCCCTCTTTGGGGTGTCCATCGACCTTCACCCCATCTTCAGTAGGCGAAACCGGGAATTTGGGTTGTCCAGCTGTTTGGACGGGTTTCGAGCATTGGTCTTGGAGCAGAAATCCCCACAGAGGGGAATGTCTGAGAATGAGAAATCAAAGAAAAAGAAATAGAGTGGGCTCCTTCAATAACCCCCTTTACTCCCAGGTAAAGATAACCCACTCGAAGCTACTCTTTATCCTTTATTCCCCCAAAAAAATGGAACACTTTCAGATCATTGCCTCCACAATGCAAACAACTTCCCCTTGCTCTCCATTAGCTCTTTTCCAAAATTCCAAGTGATCAAGATTTTCATATGAAACTTGAGTAGACTTTTGACGCGTTTTTCGTGGGGCATTTTGTGGGCAATTATCCTTGAGGGAAATATGGACGGCTGGCAATTTTGAGTGTCTCTTTTCCCCCATTCTTTTCTTTCTTTTTGGTCTTATAGATAAAAGAGAGGAGTTCGCACCCCTCTTCTTTCCCTTCAAGAAATCTGAGCACTCCTGAAGAATTGGGATGTTGATTTGAAAAAGAATCACAACAACTAGATTCTTTGAGAAAAGTGTTTACCTTTTTCTGACCATGTCATTCTTTGGTCCTTTTGATGTTCGTGCAAGCTTCTAGGTTTTGGGGTCTTGAGCTGAAAACCAGAATCTAGGTCTAGACTTGACTTCTGACCTGTCGGGGTAGGTGGGTCAAGTTAAGTGGTTCAGACCTGAACCAAGTTATGCAGTGCTAGTTATGCAAGTTGACACTGCAATTTCTCCTGACACTGCAATCCTACTTTTCTCTCTCTGTTTTCAGAACCGACTACTTAGTAACTACAGCATTCTGTTTTCATGCTATATTTGGTTCAAACGTTCAACTAACTGAACTTTTCCTTTCGTGGACTTTCGGATATTTCGTTCTTTCAGGAGAATGTCTTCGATTAAAAGACCCGAAGACCGGGGATTTCGGTAGTTCTCCGAATGTTTTCCTCGTTGATCTCCCGTCTCTCAACAACTCTAACTATCATTCATTACTTCAATCGTCACAAGCCAAACAGTAAAAATTACCTCCTTGAATACTTTTAAAATATTTACCACTTGTTTACATTAGAAAGAGTTTTAGCTTTAGAGAAAGTGATAGGTTTGAGGATAATGGCAGATGTAAGCAGGGTTGGGTAAGTACGTTCTTTTACTGGACTAGTCGAAAGTCCAGTCTCTTCTGATCCAGTCTCTTCTTGACCTAGGGAAAAACCAGGGTTATTTTGCAAAAACAGCTAGAATATATCTACCATTTGTGTATGTGGTCTCAATACAACGTTTTGTGGATCATAAATATTGAATTCCAGTTTATTGATGGATCCAACAACCAAACCCTCTCCCTCAATTTTTTTTTGGTCTTTGTCCATAGAATCAAAATGGGTGACTCTTTTTTTTCATCTATCGGGGGAATAAGCGGAGATTTTCCTATGAAAAATTCAACTCCTCCCCGCATCGCGGACCCCAACCACAAAAAAAAGAGAATTTGGATTTTGAAATGGAAATTGTATGAAAAATAAATATACATTGAAAAAGGAAAAAGAATAGAAGATTTGCAAAAGTATACAATAAAACTTTAGGAGAAGCCCTAATGGACGACAATGGGGATTTTCTGCCACATATCAGATTGGCGAAAGATTTGATGGATCCCAGAAGGTTTTTTTAAAAAATAGCTAAAGATTCATTATCTAATGTTTATTTCCAAGTTTATCCAAATTTTTCAGATACGATAGCCGAGTTCGTCCAGTGATTGATCACGCCAATCGGACGTTTGTTCTCTTCTCGATAGACTCTCTATCAAATTCCTCGCGGTGGTGAGTATCAAATTGGATTTACAAAGATTCTCAAGGATAAAAAGATTCTAAAAAATTTAATTCATAAACATTTACAATAGAAACTCAATGTGTAGCATAATTTAGCAAAGAAAATTGATTGTAGTAGATTTTTCGACAATTCCACATCGTTTTACAACATTTCTGAGGTCATTCTTTGCAAAAATGATCAAGTGAATATATTTTTGAAGTTCCACAGTAAAGAAGTGGGCTGTATTTTCCAGAATGAGAAACAACAGAGCATCGATTTGAACGTTTGGGTGATCCAGAAATGGAATGACGATTTTCTCAGGTAAATACTCGTCTGGATATTTTTGTTTCTTTGATTTTAAGTGCTTTAATTAATTTGTGCCAGATTTTTGGAAGTTCGTTTAAGTGTAAGTTTCCACGTGTGTAGGATAAATTTGTGTGTGATTTCCGGAATGATATGTTTGCTTTTACGTGCAATTGAGATGTAAGTGGACTTTCCCTGTCACTCCCAACAAAACCGACAAGTCAGAGGGAAGGCCCTCGGAATAAACGACAGACCTTTCTTGCATTCCGGAAGATTATGTTTACTTGTTTATCTACATGAGTAATGAGCACCTTTAGTGAGTCCAATAAACAACAATGGGATCGGGGGGACATGCTAGTGGAAGGGGTAGGACTCCGAATGAAAGGGAGTTTCAAGTTGAGTAATGACAATAGAGCGAAGGACCGCCTCCCTTGGTCTAGGTCCAAAATATTGAGAAAGTGTCTGTATTAGGAGAAATATAGAGGTTTAGTGTGTGCTTTCGATTGGTGAGCATAAAGAGAGACAATGGATAAAGTAGTTTCAATTAAAGTTACACAGCGAAGAGAAACATTGCAAGGGGAACTCCTGAATATTGTGTGTTTTTGTAGAGACGGATTTTTGATATAAGCAAAACCAATTTGCATAAATTTGCATATCTTAACGGGACATTACATCACAACATTTCCAGTTGGAACCCGAGTCTTTATGGAGGAATCAATGTCACCATTTGCCCTATCACGCCGTTTGGCTGCCCGATACTCTATATTTATAACAGGTAATAAGACTTAAACTCTTTCAGAAGCTGTTCAATTTTAGTGTTGTGATGAATCGCGAAGAAACGGAGAGATATATCAATGTGGTGGTGACTACGAAGTACTACAAGGACAGCGGAGAGCTGAAGTGAAATTCATGTATCCAGCGTTGTATCGAACGAGAGTTGTCAACTGGATATCAGGTAAATCATAAATTCAAGTGAAGTGTTCAACAAAGTTATAGATTTTTCCAGCGCAATGACCAACAGAATTGCGGCTTGGTGATCTCCTCGTGGACCCTCGTCTAGATCCAGTATTGATTATTTTGGTTGAAGAATCGGTTAAGTGGCATATTTTTTGCAGAATATTTCTCGAAAAATCTGAACTACAGCGCTCTTTCTATTAATGAAAAACTCTATTTAAAACTTACCCAATGACGTGTACTTTGAGTGTAAAAAGATGAGAATCCGCCCCTCCCGAAGGCCGCTGCCCTAAATTTTTTAGTTTTACTGAAACTATTTGGTGTTTTGAACTTGAATTGATCAGAAAATATGCGTTTTTTCATTTTGAGCATAAGCTACACTTTTGGTAACTGTAGCATAAAAAACTATAAAAACTGATTTTCAGTTGGTTCGTCTTGATCAATTCATCCAAAACGAGGAATGGGTGGTGGTTTCATTCAAAATCGATCAAATGGAAGAGTAAATCCCATGTTGTCCCGAGCCTTGGGTATTGCTTCATGCGCATCTTGTCATCCGAAGAAACCCCTCTATTACATTGTGAATCTCGTCATTCCCACATCCGTTATAACAATGGTCGCTGTCACTGGTAAGAGATTAAAAGAATTCAATTCTAATTAGAAGACTTTCAACAAAATTTAAGATTAAGTTAAGAAACAGGAAATGTAATGATAATTCCAGCTAGAGAGAAGCCCTAGCAAAGTGTTTACTTTGTTGAAATCAACTCCGATGGGGAAATTCTAAACCTAAGCTCTGATGTTTCTCTAAAGTAAATTCTAATATCTAAAGTTTCTCTGTGTTTTCAAAAATATAGCAACTTTTAAAAATATCGTAATCTACGGTAACCTAGCATAGTCAAACTCTGGTTGGGAAATTGTGTGAAAACCGAAAGATATTCTTAAACACCATTCATAGGATCTAGAAATCTCATAGACCACACAAATGAATGTTAATGCGATCGTAAAAGCTAAAGATAAATCTTTTATTACGGAATAAGTATTAAAAAGGAATCTTGAAGGCTTTTTCACGGCCGCTTCCACCTCATCAGAAAGCGTCATAGAGAAATTGTCATTGGGTATCGATTCCCTTCTCGCCATGTCCATCTAATGATGATGGTCTCTGAGCAAATGCCAACCACTTCCGATTATGTTCCCTTATTTGGTAAGTTGAAAACAAAATAAGCTCCTGACAGCTTTTGACAATATTCTTCTATGGGTTTTATTCTATTTGACGATCATCTTTGTGATCTTTCTCGGCACACTCTTCACCGCTTTCATTCTCAATATTCAACTACAGGTAACTTTAAAGCAAAGATAGTTAAAATCGAGTTTTGTATTTAAAGCTATATCTCAGCCTTATCATTTTACTGATAACTTTTCAGAAAATGTACTCCCGTCCGATTTCTCCGATTATCACCTTCATTTTCTTCCACAAAATTGCCAAATGGCTCAGCATTCGGTAAAGTGGAAAAATAAAATAGGAAATTTCATATCTATAATTTGATTTTAATCACAAACACTATTATTTTATTGATTCCAGAGCTCCAACAACATTGGTGGAACTAAGGGCAGAGACAGGTGTTCGGATACAAGAGGTACAAAGGGGAAACCATCTTTGAAACGGCCAATGGTTTGTTTGAGTCATTTTTTGTCTTTTTTCCCATTCTTTGATCAAATTTAGACAGTTAATAAGGATAAAATCAATCTAGAACAACAACTACGATACCGAGCTCGGATCGATTAATCCGAAAGACGGCTTCCACCAACGACACCCGTCAAAAACAACCGCCAGTTACGGCTGGGTGAATTACGACTCCTAATCTTCAAGTGTACGGCGGGATTTCAGTACATCGCAGTACTTCTATTAGTAAGTAAAAATTCGATTTTCAGATCAGCCGAGGAGTCGACACTATCGAAGCCGCGCTCGCTCGATCGAACTGGCAACGACTAGCCAGACAGGCTGAGCCTGCGAATGGAAGATTTCTGGAAAATGAAGACCTATCACTAACATAGACTTGTTTCTGAACTTATTTTATAGAATATCTTCTTAAAATGAAATGATCTTAAACGTTTCGCTTCTACAAACAGCTTCCGTCCTCGTCTTACAAGTCTTCCCTATCTTTCCCCCGAATGTTCACAGGTTAAATCTCGGCAGAAGATCGCTGACCCCAACTAGGGGCTTTCTGTCGATCCGTGTCACTGACTCATTCCAGAAGATCAACCACTCTCGCATATGATGATGATTTATGGTCTTGCTCTTGGATTACTGCTTTTTATGAGTGCCATTGAAATTGAGGATTCGCACTTTATGCTTTCGTAAACGCTCACTATCCGCCACATTTTCCAGCTAATGAGTGAGCGCATAAAGCCCAAATTTTCTCACATGTTTGAGTGAAAATTTTGCAGTTTTTTTTTGCAAAATTTCACAATGTCAGTCTATCAATTTTCTTTCCAGGGCACTTCCCAGCATCAGCGATGCCCTCAAATGCTTCGGAGATCTCTCGGAATGACGATCATCGAACATCAATGGCCATTGTTGCTGTACTAACAAATGAATGACTCTCTTGTCATCGAGAGTAAACTGGAAGAAGGTTTGTTGGGTGGAAACTAGAGAACAACTATAGCCTAAATAGTGAACAACCCCAATAATCGAATCGGAAAGACTCTAGGAGAATCTATAGCTATAGTACGAACTATAATAAGATCTATAGCTATGCCTGGCTACAGTAAGAACATTTCCAATGTCGATCTTTTTTCTAGATACGCTCTCCAATGGGAATATCTTGCCTCCGTGTTCGATCGTGTCCTCCTCCTCGTTTTCTAATGGTCGTTTTCATTGTGACATTCTTGATGATTCTCGTGGTGCAGGCCATGCATCTCAGCTATGAGCTCAATAATGAATAGAGTTGTGAACAAACCAATGATTTAAGATTAAAAAAATTCTCTTTTTATTTCTCACCTATGATTTTATCCGTTGAATATCTAAGGAAATTTTCATTCATTTTCGCATTCCACTTCTTTTCTTTCATTTAGGATATGAATATTGCCAGTTTTTTCTTTTCTTTTGTGTGATTTGTGCCTTTGTCTCTTTTGATCTTTTTTCTTTTTCTTTTCATCGACAAAATCTTTTTTTTTCTTTGTTATTCGGCTTGTACAAGAAAATTTCATTTATTGTGGATCCCTTTTGCAAACGAAATGAGCGTATTTGAAATTGTCATGGCTGTCCCAAATATTCTGAAGACTTCCCCGACAGTGCTCGTCGTTCACGATCTGAAACATTGATACTGAAATGCTAGATGGCCATGGAAGCCAGGGTTGGACCAGAAGCTAGGTTCTTGTTGCACACCTGGATCTGACTTCTGGCTTGTCTGATCCTGATCTGATTTGACTTAAAAACCCATTCAATTGAAACCTTAGTGCTTTTCAACGTACCGTGTAACTCTCAACACACTCCCCATCGGTGAGATCGTAGTTGAATGGCGATCCATCGGTCCAAGTTTTCCCTTCCGTCTCACTACACGTCGCCCCAATGACGACACCCCAATCCACACACATTTCATCTTTTCGACTTGTTGCAGCAAGATCTGAAATTGGAGAATCTCTCTCTTTCACTATAAAGTGTTACTTCTTATAAAAATATCCTCAGCATCCGAGTGAATCGATGCCAAATGAGCGCCCATTGATTGGCACATAGTCTCGGCTGTTGATCGAGTATACATTGGGATTGAATCGTTTTGCAAAACGTTCTGAAAAGTGTCAATCATTGAATTTGATAGATTCTCAATTACCTGCAAGTAGTAACATTTCCCGGTTAGTTCGTTGAAAGTCCAACCCGATGAGCATTCTGAAAAAAGTTTAACACATAGTTATGAGAAAAGTTTGGCTTCTTGTCCGTCCAAATATGTCCGAAATATACAGCGAAGTCTGAGGCAAAGATTTTCCCGAAAAAAGTTAGCACCGTGATGCCCAAGTGGGCAAGCCAGCTTAGTCGCTCACCGCTCCTTTCCCCTTTACGGATTCCAAAAAGGAAAGCACTCTATACCAGAGGAGTTTGAAAGATGGCGAGCGATTACGTGCGCACGTAAAGAACACCATGACTCCCCTTTAACATAGGAAATCTTATTTTCTCCTGAACTTGACTCCCGAAGTAGCTATTGAGCCGAAAACTTGAACCCGAGATTTGCGTGATCGATTGGAAATGTCCATTTTATTGGATCATAACAATAAATTTAAAAGTTTGCTGACAAAAACTCACGTGCTCCTCCTTGATCAGAGAATGCACAGATGAATGGATTCGATGTGGCACAACTAGCCGAATACCAATTGAAATCGGTGAAGTTGAGAACGGTGCACCCATCGGGCTTCGAGTATTCATCCGCTGAAAGAAAGTTCCCAATCGAGATTCTGAGTTAAGTTTCCAATCAAAACAAATTTTAAAGATGTTTTATTTTTGTTACAATTGCCGTTTAGCTTACCAGAAGCAAAACGCCAATAGTTCAGCAAAGTACCATCAGCATTGATTCGCGATTGATTATTTTTGTTCACCACTCCAATCAAAGCTGTCGTTTGAGTACCAGAAAGAGCTGGAAAAAGATTTTCCTAAAGAATTACTTAAATTATATTTTTACTTTCCACTGCCGCAACCACAGCCTAAAATTTTCCGTCTCCCGAGTTAATCTGAATTAGCTGTCCACCAACGGGCCCTATATGTTGCTTGAGCCATGTCAAATGATGTAGCTAAATTTTGAAAGTACGGTTTTGGGTTTTTGTAATCTATAAGCTAAATTGCCGTAAGCATACTGAGTCTCTTAACACATAGACGACCGCGTGACTCGATGCCGAGTCACGGCTGTTTCTTTTGAATAGCTGGACCAACTGAGCTGAAAATCTGCCAGAACATGTAATTCTGGGTCCTCTTTTCCAATCCGGCACTAGTTTTATTAGGAAGTTGTGTGTTTTTCGTAAAAGGCGGAAAAACCCGGTGTTACCTCGGATTCCATGGCCGAGTGATCTAAGGCGCGGGGGGCCAATCTGGGGCTCCAATAGGGGTTGTTGGCTGACTCCCCCACCCCCCGAGCAAGAACGCTTTGCAAGTAATATTTTCTAATAGTTTCGGATAATTTAATGGAGTAGCTACAAATATCAAGCGTTAGAACTCAAAAAAAAAAATTTTGAAAAATTAGTGTTTTTGAATTTCTAAAAAAAGCGTTTTGCAAAGGAAATTTTGTGTGCGTTCTTTCCGTGTCGCTCGTAGAAAAGCCGTCTGGCACAATGTCCGGATATGAGGTCAAAACTTGGGTAATTAAACCGGCTTCAAAAAAATGGTGTTTTCGTAAGGTAAGCAATAATTTTTGAAGGCTCAAAACAATTCTGACTCGGAAACATCGATCGATCTAGAAATTCGAGCATACATCGATCTAGAAATTAGCAAAACTAGAGTAGTAACTACCAGAAATTAGCGTAAAAATAAAATAATTAAAGCTGTGAAAATAAACTATGTAGAGTTTGTTGGCCTAAAGTTGGCCTAAATCTAAGGCCGGATTCGGGATTCTAGAGCCTTTTAAGGCCTCATTTGCAAATTTCTGGGATTTGCTTATTCATTTTAATCCCTGGTCCAAATCGGCCGTTTCGCAAAAGATGCGCCGTCGTCAATGCGTTAAAGATTTTGCTTTTAAAATATTCAGCTATGATCCACTTGGTCTGCTTCAGTTCACCGGCTAAACACCGCGAATCTTATCCCAGATATTAAAATAGCTTTGCAATTCGAGTTTTAAGTGAATAGCTAAAGACTTTGACTCATATTTCATTACTTTAAATATTTTGACGATTTGCTAACTGCTAATTTTAAATATTTTGGATTAACTCACGAGCATCGACAGCGAGAACAACACTCCCCTAATCCTCCATAATCCGAATGCCCCATTCGGGCAATAATAGCGAATGTTGTTGTAAAAATTGCACTCCATAAAACAAAAATTATTCTCGGCAACGCGTTGCTCATTTTCAAGGCACAAAACGAGCCCCAGAAAAAGATTCCTTTTCTAAATCAACGGCTTAACTCCTATCAAAGAATTCCGTGAGAATTGAAAGCGATTGATTTTCGAGATGCGATTAGATCTGAGCTGACACCAAAGTTGAAACATTTATTGAAGAATTGAAGAATTAAAATCTAGATATTTTGAAAAGTTTTCACAAGGTTCATCGCAACATCGGCTAGGTGAAGAGCCGCTTTTGACAGATGGAAACGAGAGAATTGATTCTGGGCATACCAACTGGGCCAAATTTCTCGAATAGCTAGGCCACAATTGTAATCGTTGATCATCTGAACTTGGACATGGGTTCTTGAATTATTTAAGTTTATATAGATATAGAAATTTAAGGTAAAAGTTAGGTCGATAGAGTCCCAAAAATACATCAGTAACCCTGGCTAGAAGTATATTCAGGGAGGTAATGCGATTGCGAAAAACGTGGACACTTTGAAAGCTACAGTGATCCATGAATCTGTTAAGCCTTTAAACCTTGAGTTATTAGAATCATTGGAACTTTTAGAAGTTTCAAGGTCCCATTCCTACCGTATACGCATCAGTGCAATTTCCATTTGTGAGATCGTAGTCGAAAGTTGTCCCATCGCTCCACGTCTTTTTCCCGTCTTTACACGATGCACCAATGAGTGCTTGTCCACCCTGTCCACAGTCCACTCCACCATATGTTGCGATGAAATCTTAATAGTTTTTGCTAAGCATTTTATAGCTTTATACTTCTAATCCAGATATTTTCTCGTTGTGTGTGAATCGATGCAAGATGAGCACCCATTTGAGCGCAGATTGCCTCCGCATCACTCTGATTCACGTAGAGAGCATGATTTGAGGTAACAATGTTCTCGAATTTGATTCATTTAACTCGATAAAGATCTATAAAACTCTTTCTCTAACTTCAGACGAGAAACACCAAATTTACATTTAAAACTAGACATGCAGTCAACATGGCAATTCAGCCAACCTTCGCCAGTTGCACCAACCTGTATATAGTAGCAATTTTGTGTGAAATCATTCCAGCTCCATCCGGTCGGACACACTAAATATTTGAATAATAAGGAAGAGAAATCCTATTCCTATCACTTACGCATAGTGGAGAGATCCGAGGAATTGGCAAACAAATGGATGAGTGTCATTGCATGGAGTGGAATACCATTGAAGATTGGTTGGATTGAGCACGGTGCACGGTGAGGCTGAGTACTCGCTTTCTAGAAATTGGATTGGAAACAATGGAAATTGATCTATTTGTCTAAACCTGAAAAGAAATTGAGGTACTGTAAAGAGGAGTGCCATCAGCGTAAATTCGGTCGACCCCGCGATCCCTCCGAATCACTCCAATCGTCACCGGGACTTTTGTGGGCAATGCTGCAATGGTCTTGAGTGTAATTCTTACCATTTGCCTGTAAATATAAATCTAATACTGATATCTTAACAACAAAAGGCACCGTTTTCCGATTTTGAAAAGCTCCATTGGTACTTCAATCAATCGCTATTGTTTCAACACTTGTGTAAACTGGTTTACATGGTTAATGATTCCACTTTAAGAAGTCTAACTCGCCAAATTCTATCTTTTTATGAACCTTTACTTGCCGGAACTGCAGCCAAAATACATTTTCCCGTTGTGTTTGTGGTTGAATGAGTCGCCCGCTCAACGCAGCACATGTTCGACTGGCTGCCGATAGCCATGCCGCTGGAAACGTCTCTTCGATAAGTAAGGTTTAATCGGTTTGGCTTTTTATCATATACCTTAACCCTTTAAAATAACAAATGATTTTCTTTTAACGCAGAATTTAGCACCTTTCAAGTTCAAAATGCAAAACCCAATGAGCTGGAATGGTGACGATACACTCGGAGCCTCAATATAACTTACAGAGCCAGCAGGACATGAGCCACCTTCAAATATAAGCCCAAAATATCCAACGAATAAAATGATCTGACTTAACATCTGATCTGGAAATATCTGATCTAATTGTAAGAAATAAACTCTCCCTTCCGCCTGGCGTGGAACGTTCTCGACAAAAAGCGGCATTTTTCTTCATTCTTTCGAGTAGAAATAGATTAGCGCTTGGTGTGCTTAATTCGAAGAGAAGCGTAGCTTTTCAAGAGAATTAATTTCTAGAGTTAAAAGACAGAAAAAATATTTTGCTTATGGGTAAAAAATTGCCTAAATATGTGAGAATTTTAGAATGATTGAGTGAAAATATATTCAGATATACTAGTACTTTTTTTTGTACTGGAAAAAATGACTGTCTTCGAAAACTACTGCAACTGCCGTACTCTAAGTTCTACGTTATCCAAAACTACGTAAATTTTTATAGTTCAGGATTTATTTAATATATCAATTTCACCTAAATTTGTGTTTCGAATCTGCACTAGAGCAGAATTGTGCAACGCAAAAGCACCCAAAAGTGAATGGAAATTAAAACTTGGTTTGAAAACGAATTCTTCTGATTTACCCACACCGATCAACACTCGTGCACTTCTCACCGTTCATCGTGGTCAGAAATCCCCGTTTTCCTCCTTAAAAGGGCAAGTAGAGCTTTTTTTTTTTTCTATTGTGTTATAATATCTTTTAGTTAGTAAAAAAAATAAAAATGAAATAACCAAATATAGATCAACTGAGATCATCCCCTTGCTCCCTTCCTTTACCAGAAATGTTCACTTTTCTTTTGTCTTTTCCCTGTCTCATCCACTCTGTCCCATTGTGCCTCCCCCTCTTGGGTCTTCGTTTTTCCTTTTTTCTAAAAACTCGAACACAATTATTTTTAATAATTGATCAAATCAAATCACTTTTAATATTTAACAACAAATGTCATTTTTATTGTTATTCGGTGGATTCACAGCGGCATTGGCATATTGTAAGTCAATCTTAGTTTGAGCTTTTATATATGTATTTTGCTCATTTTTGAGTTTTTTGGCCCAAACCCCCGTAAAATAAACACATTTGTGCAAACTCGATGAGGGATAATACTAAAATTGAATGATGGACAAAAAGAAAACAATTGTGATGTCGAAACTGGCTCGAGACAATCTTATTGGCATCAATTCGAGTGAAAAACGCAATACAATCGTGGAGCTGAAAAAGAATTCTAGAAAGAAAATGCAACTTAAGACTTCCCACCTTCGTTGTGCTGGGCACACTTTTACACGTGCATAAAATGAGAGACTTCTTCGCTGCAAAGTGGTAAACTTTTGAAACTTTGTAGTTACAAAATCTGATAGCTTCAGATAGCTTTGATTCTCTTTTGGGTGAACGAGAATTGAGGAGAAGTCCTGCTGTTAAAAAGAAAAGAAAAAGCTTAAGAAGTCAATTTGAAAGATCCTAAAGGCTTGATGGGGGTTAGAAATTTTGGTTACTGTACTTATATCCAAGCGTTTACGGGGTCTTCCAAAAGAATACATTGACGTGGCTACTTTGTCTAATCGTGGCTTTGATCTACTGGTGAAGATGGGATATTTTGAACTCCGAAGACCATCCCTTCGTCTTTTTCTTTTCTTTTTATTGTCCTTCCCCATCCTTCTTCTTGTTCTTCTTTGGGCAAACGAGGCGCTGACAGCTCGTTGGTAGAGGACCGTTCGGTAAGCGGTCGAGGGTTCAATTTCCCCTCGGTTCCAAATTTTTGTCATTCATTCTTTATCAAGAAGTAAGCACAATAATGTAAGTCATGGTTGGGAATAATTGAAGTGAAACGAAAAGCAACACCGTACCCAAGCTAATGGTTCCAAATAAATAACGAGATTACTGTAACATTTTCTCGGGAAGATCATCTTTTAGAAAGCAAAAGAAGCACAAAAAATAACTTCAATCATAATTTTAAAGGAGATCAGGAAAATCAGGGAGGAAATGAACGGGGCGAAAGTTAATTCAGCAGAGGTTGGTTTTGGACGAAAAGCTCTTCTATAATATGCTTCTAAAGGTGCTACAAAAGAAAGCAACAACGTCTCAAGTATTGTACCGTATTTCAAAAAGAGCATGTAGCTGATGAAGAGGTAAGCTTCCTCGCGAATATACGGTTGATTTTAAGATTTGAAACATTTCTATTCAGTTTTAAACAAATTTCAGAACCGCATTGCCGCCAACGTTAATATACTTATTTCCGCAAGGCGAACCCCCGAAATTTCGATTTCACTTTGATCCATCTGAGCTTATACAAATAGAAAAAGCCTGCTCAAAAACAAGTAAGTTTTAAGCAAAGCAAAGCAAAGCAAATTTTCCTAATCTCTTCGGGATTATCTCTTAGTTTTAGCAATTCTCTTAAATTTTTTAAAACTTTAGAAAGGTGATCGTCTCATCTCTCTTCAGTGACCGTTGAACTGAAGGCCAACAAAGAGGAGAGAATTCAAAAGATTAATGTAATCATTTACAATTTAAATTTCGAAAATGAAAAATAGAATGGATCCTATGTATCTGCTGTGAAGGGAGAACAGGGTGGATAGAGAAGATGTGACGATGATCTGAGCAAAATTCTCATCCGGTAAAGGTTTTTGATGAATAAGGATTGTAAGTCAGGCTTTAGCCATTGTGAAAATTTGAAATATAATCTGAAACTTTTTGGCCTAGATTGTGAAAATATGACCACAACCACCCTAATCCCCTCTAAATTCTTCATCTCGTACAGCGAAAGAAGAGGAAACGCTTGTATCAAAGGCGTCGTTTTGAGATCTCACACTCAAGTAAAGCTATGATGTTTTCTAAAGAAAATACATTTTTTCATATTTTGACTTTAAAGCGTAAAAGTGGAGTGGCAATTGATGAAATCATTTATTTAGATGAGCTTATCATCCCCGTTATGAATTTATGGAATTTCAACTTTACGGTTCTTCGAGATGGAGAGGTGAGGAGAAATATGGATGAAACAAGAATCTATTAGCCAAATGATTGTTGTAAAATATATAATATCTTTATTTACTGCTTATAAAATCTTTTTTATTGTATATAATGAAGAAAAGTTCAGGATCAAACGGGGCACAATCTCTCTCTGAAAACAGATGAAGAAGAGTTGTTGATGCCTACCCACGACACATCACCTCGTGAAAATAGCTCATTTGATTGTCGCGGATCGGGAAACGTTCTTTTGAGCAGAAACGGTTAGAGATTACGGTAAGTGGTTGTACTTTTCATCTAAAAAAACTCTTATTAGTTGATCGCTGAACTCTTCGGAGAAAGGATTTACAAGAAGACTGAAGCTTAGGAAAAGGAAGAAAACAAGATCCTGATTACTGAGAAAAAGCCAAAAAGAAGATAAGAAGTAGAAGGTCGGGGAGAATAAAATAGTTAATTTGAAAGAAATGAAAACACTCGAAATGAGACAAAAGAGGGAAAAGGGATGAAGAACCAACCTTGGCACCAAAAAAGGAATCAAAACAATCTAGATAAAACCTTGCTAATCATTGAAGATAAAATAGAGTCAAAAGAAAAAGCAACTATAACCAAAAAGGAGACAAATGGGGAAAAGGAGAGAATTTTGATTGTTGATAAATGAAGTGACAAAGCAGTGGAGACACTCATCGATCATTCGGTTCAACAGGTAAGCTTGAGAATTAAAGATTTAATTGTTTACTAGTAAAATTCTTACCATTTGATGTTTAGTCATTGGTGAAAAAGCTCAATGAGAATGAAGCGATAGGATCGGAAAACAATGGAACAGATGTCCGTTGAAGCGTCGATCTTTACAATCAACCGAATCGAGATCAACAGGAGATCCATTGACTGCAAGTTTTTCAATGTTAGTGCTGATGCAATCTTCTTCCAAGCATGTTTCGCCGTTAGAACCAAGGGTACAGGATGTTCAGCCATTCATGGGGACCAGAAGTTTACTAGATTTAGCACTCATTTTAGGCAAATTTAATGCTAAAAAGGAAATGTAATACGCTCCAACACAACCCAAGAAGTCAACGTTTTTTCAAAATTATTGCTTTATGTGCCGGTTGTTTGCCTGGGAACATCTGTAAGAGGGCGGATAAATTGAGTTTATCACAAACTCCGGTTAAGCTTTCTTTGAATAATACAAAACTGAAATGTGATTTTAACATCTTTATTGGGCTATAGTTTCTGAAACTGTTGGGCCAGTAAATACCTTCTCATCACCAACAAAAAACAAATCAGGGTCTGACTCTCTTGGTGCAGAAATTTGCGAATCGAGCTCTAGATGAATCATTTTTTGGAAATATCAAATTTAGTAAACTGTAAAAATGATCTAGATAATTAAAAATAAAAGTAATTTTGAACTCTTATGCAAAAAGCTTTCTGACGATTTTTTTCATAAACCAATTTTGAGAGGCGCTAACCAGAGCTGGGTGAGCTCAAAAGTCTTACAAATACTGAACATCCTTTAATTTAATGTTTAATGGTAAGAATTTTAGATAAGTATATTAAGTCGAATAGTAATCAATAAAACTAAAGTGTACTTTTTTCTCCCAAAATTATTGCCTTTTGCGCTGTTGCTTGCCCAGAAACACCTGTGAAGGGTCTAGGAATTGAATGTTTTTATCTAACCATAAGCAGCTCTAAGCCTGTAAGGATTTACAGTCATTGAAAAAGCTTTACATTCTACTGGTTTAGACTAGCAATCAACATTGGGAATTATACAAAAAAGATCTCTGTCATCCCAGGTCTTCTCATTTTCTGTACCCGAATCAGCAAAGAGTGGGACGATTGTCGGAGAGATAAACGATTTGGATAAATATTTAATGACCGATGATGAAAAGTGAGTGTAACTAATTACCCAAAAACTGGTTTTCAGCAATTCGGCATTCTCATTTTTCAGCAATTCTCAGAAATTCTTCTCTTTAGATTCTCCGGGCAATCCTCGCAACTCGTTGTTTCTGTGTGAAAACGAGGACGTTTGTTTAGACTAAGAAAAGGAGAAATGAGCACAAATTATTGCCGTTACCAAGAAATGGTTTACTTTTTAAACAACGGTTTATATCAAAAATTCAATTTTATAGAAATCTTGGATGACAAATCACTTGGGGATTCCCAGCTGAGGGAACTGTGAAAAAGTTGAAGACATCAACGAGTTCCCTCCGGAAAGTCAGCTTTCGATTCAATGATACGTGAATCGCTGACGGAGAGTTGATCATGCCGTTTGCTCGTGAGGTGACAAATACATCAAGTTATCCCATATCTAGATAGTTTGGCTTTTGGGTTTGGGAAATATTTATTTCTCAACAACACTACAGATTGACGATGAAGATAGCGGAGAGGAGAACGTTCTCCAATCGAAGGCACAGCTGCCAGATTTCTTGACTCTATCAAAAATCGGACAAGAAACCTAAGGAAATTACTGTTTTGACAAAGAATGAATAAATAAAGTATCAAAATAAAGACAAACAAACACCCGCTGAAAGGAAGTTACACTATGAAAGTGATTCTCAGCGGATCGAACTGGGAAATTCCCGGAAGCACGGGGGATGGAAAGTTCTTGTAGCGGTGAGTCACCAAAAGAATTTCAAGATCCAAAAAATGTTCCACTTTAGAACACCAAAACGCGGTTGTTATCGGGCACTAGAAATACGAGATAATGAGTAGAAGTGTCTTCGTCAAAAAGGACCATCCAACCTCTGATTAAGAAAATCTTTTTTTGGGGGGAAAATCTGCTAAAGACAACATCAAGTTTCGCTAATTCACCTACGAGAACAATTCGCTACTTAAATATTCAAGTTTATAGCAACCACTAAAACGTCATTCAGTAGATACCTGCTCAATGAGTTTAACCTGGTAAATAGAAAAAAACTCACCGATTCGATCTGCTTTGTGATTCTCAGGTCATTAAAAATATATATTCAACTATAAAGAGCTATTTAGCTGCTGATTTGGTTCAATGAAAATTTTTTGGCAGGTTTTACCGTAAAAGATTTTAGTGGAAACCCAGGATGGTTGAAAATCGATGACTATCACGGGCATATACTCGTTTCAAAGTTATTCGAGTGAAAGAAGATAGTTTTTGATTAGGACAAAAAAAAGGATCTCAGGAATGTATCTTACAAGCGAAACATCTTTTGAAAGAATTGGAGCCGTGAACAGAGAGAATGACCCTGCAGATGGGTCAACGCAAAAAGAGATTGAGGTTTTTTAGAGGGAAATTCCGGGACTCCCGTTCGGCCAACCAATTACCATAATCTCAAAGCATAGAGGTAGAGAAAGTTTAAGATGTATTTAATCAAAAAGCCTAGATAGTGGCATGTAAAATTTTCAGAAAACGAAGAACCCCTTGCAATCCCGTTAATGCTTACAAATGGAGGGAAGAAGCCGAAGTGGAAAGTGCTGATGGGACTGACGAGAATGGGATGGAGGATTAAATTCCGATGAGGTGGATGGAAACGGATTTTGCTTTGAAAAACGATTTTAGGCAGTGACTTGATAAACGATTTGGTCATCCCGAGATCGATTTTCGGGTCGTTGAGAACCGTTCACGTTGAGCTTTCAAATCGAAATCACAAAGGTGATCTTGGATTTTATTCCAGTAATGAGATAAAGTTTAGCTCAACAACCATTCATCTCACATCGACGCCTGAATATTTGGAGAAGAAAAGAAAAGAGGCAAATGTGCCAGCTTATTCATCCATGGACGAAAGAGAAAACCGATAATTACTGTAAGTGATAGAAATATAGCTAAAGCTACGGTATATACCCAATTGAACGAGTACCAAAGGCAATACCAAAAGTCCAAGATAGTCTTATCTAACTGGCGGGCCGGAACTCCTGACCTTTGACTGACGATAAAGGGCTCTTAACCAGTCGGCCATGGCGGCTATCGCGGCCCTTCACAAGTAGCCAAAAGAGCAATCTTTTTTGTACCTTGTGCTAATGCACTTAAATTTTAGAACCTTTTAAAATCTAGAGAGAAATCCGCGAAGAAGAGCTTTGCTTGGAAACATTGTGTTCGCTCTTCCGGCAAACAATCCAATGACAGGAAAAATGGTCCAATCAAACGACGGGAAAAGATGCGAGAAAGTTCACTTTGGATCAAGAAACAGGTAAAAAAACTATAATAAAAGAAAACTCCAACCCAATCCATATCAGGATCAATCTCTTGCTAACGCTCGTCTCGATTTGACTCACTCACTGCCGATGAAAGAGAAATGGAAATCATTCCTGGGGCCGGCGAAAAGGGGATACACTTCCAACAGCAACAATAAATGTGGAGCAAGAAAGCAAGAAAGCGGAGGGATTACGAAATTTAGTGATCCCCAACGATCTTGATGATAATGTAATCTCACTCCGAGATTGAGAAGCCACTAGGAAAGGTGAAAAATGACGATTAAAGAAGCATTATCGATTTAGATTTCTTTACCTCGAGTATCCCCCTCAAAGACGTAAATTATGAGTGTAAAAGTGAACGGATAAAGATGAGATCTCTAAAGGAAAACAGAAATACACGATACTTGGTTACGGAGTGGAGAATTTTGAACTGAAAGAGGTTTGAAAAGAGCTTTATTTCATAAAATCAAGTATCCAGTTTCACAGTAACTGGATTAAAGTAGCTGTTTAGATTAGAATTTTCCTGCCATTTTCTGAAATTTCTAAAAACGTGTCAACTACAGTAATCTAAACTTATTTTTAGTATTTTGTGGACCATCACAGAACCGGACCAAGTAGCTATAACAAATTAGATAAATTAGAGACTACAGTAGTTCCGGGAGCGACAAGTTTTAGAAAACGGTTTATTTGGAAGAGCATAAAGTTGATCTTCTTCAATTTATTTGAAGGTTTAAGGGCATTCAGCCTTTTCACTCAATATTTTATCAATATGGCATATTGTTGTGAGAGAGATCAATGTATCTTATAACCTTCAACACATTCCAGATCAACCCTCTGCTGTAACTACTGTTTGCTGCAATGCAAATTTGGATGAGAAACTCTAAGAATACAACTTGATGTTACTTGTTGAGGATCCTGCCGGAAATCGGGACACTCTTTATGTTAGTGACTTCAGAATTCTCATTTGAACTGAGTTCTTTTTAGATTGAAATTGCTCTTAACGGATAAAAACGATCATCGACCACGTTTGACGAAATCCTTAGTGACATTGAGGTAATAAAAGACGCTACTTGACTTTCTCATAATCAGCTCAGGTGATTGAACAATTGGCCCTCCGGGAATGTATCTTAATCAAATTGTTGCCAAAGACTCGACGAGACCAACGATCACCTATACACTCCACAGGAAACGAAAGTGAACGTTGGTCCGAAACGGAATCTCTTAAAAGTACAGTAGTCCATTTCAAAAATTCTGCTCTTCCAATTCAATCGAGTCCAATCTATTGGTTTTAACTGAAAAACAAATGAATTTTCAGACTTTCCATTGACCTAAAGACGGGAATTCCCTGAAAATTGCTAAATCTCTGGATGGCTTGGGCAGAGATCAACCATATGAGTTTACGATGATGGCTACGGATAATGGTAACGTAAAGTTTCTTGAACAAAACCTACCTTTGCGATGCTAAATAGTTCAGCTCGGTGGGACTGGAACCCTGACCTCCTGACGAAGATACAAGAGCTCCTAGCCAGTCGGCCATGGCGGCCATTCAAAAAAACTGGTTATGACATAAAACGTCATATCTAAATAAAGCCTTTACTATACTCAAATTAGAAGTGGCTATTTAACAACATAATCAAGATTTTTGAAATGAAATCAATACCTCAGGAAAACCTCCATCAAATAGCAGTGTTCCTTCTGAGAATCAAAGTCTCAATCCCAAAATATATTTTGGAGAGCACGAGAAGAACTCAACTGAATCTCATCCTTGCTTGAACACGATTTGTTCTGGAGATCCTGAAGTACGCTTTAGGCATTGGTTACTGTGGATTGGCTGCCTTTATGTAGCCTAACCTTTTGATTTAAAACAATTTAACTTTTAAAAAGTCTTATGAAAATGCAGTTGCCATTGACTGTTGACAGTAGAGCCTATGATCCATTGGTCGTCTGCTTGTCAATAGGTGTCAAACGGAACAACGAGATTCGGACCACTTCAATGACTACTTTTTCAGGATTTCTTGCCATATTTAGGGTAGGATCTTCCAAGCTTTATCTTTTGGTCTGAAAACCTTTGAAAAAAATGTTGTTGAAGTTGTTAAATTTCGCTTTTTTCGTTGTACACCAATTGACAATCAGACCGAAAATGAACAGCTCTATTTGAGAGTACTACAATGCAAAATGAACCGAGAAAGGGACGGTCATCTACAATGCTCGGGCTGTTGAGAAAATTGATGGAAATTCGAAGACATCGGAAAATATTCGATATTCGGCTACAGTAAGAAAATTGGATAAAAGCTGAAGAACCGGAAAGTTTAGCCTTTGAATGTGGATGAGGAAGGAGTATTTGGATATCGATGAGGATCCGGGTGATATCCCCTTGTGACAGACGGGATCGGATTACGAGAGAAAAACAAGGGTTACGGTGGGTAGAAAATGAGAAAGTGTCTAAAAAGATTTTGTATAAGACATTTACAAGACTAAAGTAAACAACTAAATTGTCACAGATACAGGTTAGGTCAGAACATTTAATTGTTAAATAGAGGATTTAGTGAAATTGATAGATCGCTAGAGTTAGTAGAGAAAGGATTAGCTAGGAGAAAATTGCAACAACAACAAACCAAACAAAAACTATGGTCAATTTCACGCCTTTCAAAATACATTCAAGGATTCCGAAAGAAAACTCTATTGTTGAAAGATGAAAAGAGATTTCATCTCTTTGTCGACTCGCGATCGCGCACAATTTTTATTTTTATTTTTATTTAATTCAGCCTCTCGAAGTTTTAACATGTTCTTGAAATATAAAAAGAGTCATTTAGCCTCTTTTAATCGAGGCCAGTCTCGAAGATAACTCAGTCCAAATCGGTTTAATTACCCAACTTGGCCTATAAAGCTGTATAACCTGAGTTATTTAACACTTTAAACTCTGTTACTAATTCTTTCTTAAAGTTTTTCCTTTGTCTATCATTGGCAATAAATATTGTTTAGTGTTTTGTCTATAGATCTGACGAAAACGGACGTTCGCTACAAATCACTTCTCAACTTCTCTTGACCGTGGGCGAGAAATAATCCTTGAGAAATAATGCGTCATCGTGAAAAAAAGAGAAGAAAAACTGCTTTGGAAAGTCGTGTAAAAGTTTTCTCAAAATACCGAATGAGCTTAAAAAATTCTTCCTCACTCACTCGCCAAAACTCTCCCATTTTTCTACTTCTGTCTGACTCTTGAGAAGAGCGGAGTGAAGGGAAACCTTTCTTTCTGACACCTCGAACGGCCACATCAACGGGAACTACCACAGCTAAAAGTTTGTTTTTAACACCAATATCATTTCTTGTTATAATTTCCATTCGTTTGTAGATCCGGTAAGCTCAGGGAAAGGCTAAGGTACCTGGACTTGATTACTGTAACTGCCTTAAATGGGCATCCTAGCTTTCAGCAGCTCCATAATAGCTAGATATTTCAAGAACCCTAACTTAACTACCGTAATCCAGGAGACTTGGAGCAAGAGCTTTTCCTAAGCGTACCCTTTTAGAATATGCAAAAAGAAATGACGAGCTATTCTAATAGATCTCACCTTTGTGATTTAAAAAGCTTTAAGAGACCCGTAATATTCTAAGATTTCCACTTAAAGATACTATTTGATAGGTGATGGAAATGATAATGGAAAGCGTGAAATTGTTGACTTTTCTACTTCTCCTTTCTTTCATTCTTCCTCATTGTCTTCCTCAATCATCTTCCTTTTCCCACCCCTCTCCATAAATATTGACTCCCTGGTTTTTCTTCAATGCAATCAATAATTAGTGGTTAGTCAGCTACGTTTTCCTTCAATTACATTAAAATATTCCCTTTGTTGTGGGGAGGTGGATTTTGACTTCTCTCCTCCAGCTCAAACCCACTTTGTCTACCCTCTCACATTGAGACCTGCTGGCCAAACGGTTAGAGTCTTGTCTCTCGGGCGGAAGGTCGAGAGTCTCAACCCACGCCTGGCTTTAAGATAAAAATGTTCCCTTTTCCCCACCAATCGCCAGTTTTCTTTCACAACATTCGGGATAATAGGGCTAATAGGGGTAACGACGGCCTGCAGTGCGATAAAAATTGTGTGTTTAGATCTTTCATTAGGGTTCTCTGGAGGAATCACATTAGGTTTTCAATACATGTATTTTTAAGGTAGATTCTACGATCTCTCTCTTCCAGATCAAACCACTTTGACACCTCACATTACGACGGTTGAATGACCATCAACCGAGAATCCGTTCCAAAATTCCTCGAACTCAATTTTGGGATCTCACTCTCAAAACAATGCTCTTACTCCAACTTTTCTTA